TTCGGTGCTCCTGTCCTGAGCGCATCAACAACCTTGTCTTCTCCCAGGACCAGACTGCCTGAGGTGCACGCATAGCTGACGACGTCCAGACCTGCATCAGGCAAAAGAGTGGACGCGGACCGCGTGAGTTCCCGGGTCAGCGACGAAAGGCAGGCAACCGTGATGTCATCGGCGCTTGAAACACGGGCGAAATGCAGACCGACATCAGCGGGAAACAGGCGGAACATATCGCTTTCGATCGTCTGTTCACTCGACAGAAGCACGAAGCCAACCTTGCCGCGGGTGTGGCGCCCTTCGTCAAACAGATCATCTTTCGCAAAACTCATAGCTGTATACATCTTGCGTAATTATCGGACATAAAGGTATCGTATATTTAAAATTGACGCTATGCTGCATGCATGTCAAAGATTTTCTGAACAAATCTGCGCATTCACGATCGATTTTTGACGAAAGCGGATGAAACCAGGTTCAGGAGGCCTCGCAGAAGATACCGCGATCGAATGGGGGAATGTAGATCCCAGTTGTCACCTGTTCAACGGGAGGGAGGACAGATGCTCGAACAAGCAAAAACGAGAACCGCTCAGCTACAAAGACACATGAAGGACAACGGTGTCCAAAAGGCCGTCTTTACGGATGAAAGCTCGATTGCCTATCTGGCGGGATTCTGGGGGTACCTGGGTATTGAATTCGGACGGCCGACGCTGCTTGTCGTTGATGCCGACGACGAACCGGTGGTCATCACGCCGCTGATGGAATCCGAAATGGTCGCGGAGATGACCTGGGTCACGGATGTCAGGGTCTGGGAGGACATTGGCCAGCGCACATGGGGCCGCGCTCTTGCCGGCGCCCTGGGTGACAAGCCGACCCGGATCTGGATTGAGCGCGGCACTATTCCGGCAAGTGTGCGCAATTACCTGGACGACACCTATCCAGGCGTGGCGCTCAAGGACATTTCTCCGCTGCTCGGTAAATTGCGCATGATCAAGACCCCATTTGAAATCGGCGTCATGAAGGAAGCCGGGCAGATTGCGGGCGCGATGATGACTGCCGCACACGAGTCATTGCGGGAAGGCGCAAGGGAGTATGAATCGGCACTCGCTGTGATCGAGGCCGGTTCCCGCAAGGCAGCCGGTTTTCTGACCGACGAGGGCTGGGATCGCTTCGTGTCGCCGATGATCCACAATCTCCAGATCCTGCAAAGCGGTGCCGAAACATCAATGGTGCATCGCCGGGCCGGCGTCAGGACATACCGGAAATTCGACCCCGTCTATTTCTGCTTCTGCAACATGGCACAGTTCAAGCAATACAAGTTGGGTTTCGACCGGATGTTTCACATCGGCGAGGTGACCGATCAGGCGCGTCACGTGCAGGAAGCGGCGATCGCGGCGCAGCAGGCGGCCATCGCCGCGATCCGGCCGGGCGTACTTGCCCGGGAGATTGCGGCAGCCGCCAATGAAGTCTACCGGGAACGGGGATACCAGACAGGATATCGGACAGGCAGATCGATAGGGGTTGCTTATCTGGAAGCACCTGAACTGAAGGAAGGGGACAATACTGTCCTCAAAGCCGGCATGACCTTTGCCGTGGATGGCGGCATTTCGGTGGATGGTGTCACTGCTGGCCGCATTGGAGACTCCGTCGTCGTCACCGAAAACGGATGCGACTACATCACGGACTATCCGCGAGAAATATTGCTGAGCAAACATTGAAACTGCACCTTCGTGGGAGACGCCAGAGGGCAATTTGGGGGGAAGCGATTCAATGACGGGAACCGATCCCTTTCCGGCGAAAGAACTGGAACATCGAGTTGCTCGCGTTCGCAGTGCGCTGGCTGACAATGATCTCGACGGCATTCTGGTCTCTGTACCGGAAAGCATCTACTGGCTGACAGGTCTCGATCATTGGGGTTTCTTTGCCGCGCATGTTCTGGTTGTCCAAAAATGATTTAGATTCAATGTGGCTAAATGGGTCTTTGTAAGGAAGACAGTCCAATTAGTTTTTTCTTCATCTTTTTGTTTCGGTCTTGAATGAATCATAATTTGAGCATGTTTTCCTTTTCAAGCATGATTTCAATGAAACTTACTTTTGACTTTCCAGTATAAATGAAGGACATATTCCAACCAGAACGTCTATTTTGAATGCATACTCCTTTCGAAGGACTTGCATTGCTACAGTTGTTTGCACTATGGCCCTCAGCATAGGAAAGGTCCGAAACGGGCACTGCAGCCTGGGCCCATGGGTTGGGGGTGCATGTACGTATATGGGTATGGCTCACTTGCCAGGGCAACCCATTTTGGTACCGGTTTTTTGAGCCACAGCCATATGTGTATATATATATATATGTGCTTATCTAGCCACCTACCTCAAGCCTACATGCCCTGACGTCCTGATGCCTACATGCCTGCATGCTGACATCGCTACATGCTGACATCGCTACATATCTTCACGCAATGCACGTATATACACCTACATGCACCTACATACACCTGCATTCACCTACATATCTACGTACCCGCATACCCATATACCTTCATACCTCCATACCTCCATACCTCCATACCTGCATATCTGCATACCCGTACATACACCTACATCAGCTACATACACCTACATACGCCTGCATACACCTACATGCCTCATCATACACATGGTTCCACTTTCTACACTTTTGCCTGTTTCAGTTCTTTTTCTTCTTTGGGGGGAGGTTCCCTTGCCAGGCGACAAGTCGAGTGACCTGTCGGCTGCCGTGCCCTGTCGCCGAATTTCACTATGGTGGGGTGGACGGGACAGTGACTCACCAGAGACGTATGGATTCCCCCAAGAAATTCAACATCACTTTTGAACATTTGGTTCCCCTGGTTTTGCCCTGCGTTTTGGGCCAATCATCACTTGAACATCTGGGTTCCCTTGGTTTTGCCCTGCATATTGGCTTCTCTTGGTGGGATGACGTGGAAGGAGGATTATTTGCGGCAAGAGTCCTGGGATCCTTGGCCCGGCATGGACCCTCCCCGACACACGCATGTGCACACGCATGCACGCATGTGCCGCTTCACCGCCATGTGTTGAGGGGTGGGTACGACTGCAACGCAATCTGCTTTAAGGAGAAAGTTATTCCAAAGAGCTGGGGAAACATGACACCCACCCCACCCATCAGCCCCATCAGGGGTCCCCAAAATGGAAAAACCGGAAACTCAGCCAGTTGGGGGTCCGGAACCCAAGACACGCCCTTCAAACTGGTCTGAAGAACCCGGTAACGACACATGTCCGGCGGGAAATGCGTTGGTGAGCCTATTTCAACCGACCTTTGCAACCGCAGTTCGCAATCTCCAAGGGGCCAGATGTCTGTTGTCCAAAACCAATTCAAGCAAGGCGGAGGCCCCCAAGCTCCGACACGTTTCCATGACTCAGGCTGACCTTTCAGAGGGTTAACAGCTGGTTCCTTTTTGATATCTTTCTGATGAGCCATCCTGTGTTACCAAAATTCGAGAACCCCCTAGATCGCCAAGTTGCGATCGTTTTTGTCAGTCACGGTTGCTGGTTTTTGTGGTAAAGTTCATGGAGAAAAAGCGATCGCAACTGGCGATCCAGGTAGTTGGTTGACTGGTAGTGGCTTCAGGCAGCTGTTACACTGAAGCCCACTGAAAAACACCCGAAACACAAGAACCCCTCCCTTTTCGCTCCGAGGTGCTGAAAGCTTTGGCCGAGATCCCGTCACAGCTGGAGGCTGACTGACCACCGATGGGTATGGGGCAAACTTGAGACACTAGAAAACCGCAGGTTTCAGTCCTCATTTCCACCAGGAGACAGGTATGAGTCAAAATTAATCCACCAGGAGACGGCAGGTTTTAGTCTTTGCTTCTATTTTGCCAGGGTTCCATGTTGGGGTTACCCTATTTTGACCCACATCCAGATTTGTTTTTTCAGCACGTGCTGTGTGTGCGGCACGGTTTGAGATCGAAGAACAATCGGCGAGGGTCCACAACGAAGCCTTGGCGCTGCGAGTTTACGAGTCGAAAAGTCGAAACGCAGGCAGTGCACTTCGGGAGTTTGGGAGGGGTTGCAGGCACTCTGTATGTGAGCCGGTGCGGCATGCTTTGTAAAGAGCTTTTTTTTGTATTGACTGTCCTCGGCCAGGTGGGTAGAGGTCACCAGCGACTAGGGAGCCAACCAGGAACGGAGATGGGCAGCTTTTCAGAGGGAAAACCATTCACAGAGAGCCAGACTGCCAGCCTCCTTTCCAGTGGCTGAGGCCTTTCAAGAAGAGTTCGGGAGCCCAGGTTTCGCGAGGGAGATTGTCCGATCCGCGAGCGCGATCCAGTTTCGAAGGGGGGATTCCCTGATGAATCCGGGGTTTCCTACGCGGACTTGGGTGGCACTTGTTTCCTGAGGGGAGGAGAGTGGCGCCTGAAAAGTTCAAATTCCATGAACAGCTTGTCTGGAGCAGCTTTTTCAAGTTCACAAGTCAACGTTTTCAAATGGCAGTTTACAATTGGGTGAAAGTAGATGGCACAATTCCAACCCTTTCTTGTGTTGTCATCCACTTTCACCCTACTCGAGTTCGATAAAGGCATTCATGCCATGCTCTCATTTTCCCAGCATCTTCACGGCTCTTGGCGGGATCGAGTCTTTGGCAACTCGAAAGCCAAGTCTTCAGCATATCCACCTGCAGTTCGCAACCCCGCTCGATTTATGGCGCGGATTGCAGGACCGTTTGGCCGCTTACGCAGAGTCGTTTTTGATCTGTTTGTTGGCCGCGACCGCACGGCATCCGTTCGAATTCTGGGCGGCTCAAAGAGGGTTGGGCGAGATGTGCAGAAATGATGCAAGACTCTGCAAGTTGGTGAGAAGCATGGGTGTCCAGTAATTTGACGAAAAACATATCCAGGTGTTCTGGTTGCAAATGTTGGGACCCGACAGCTGCTCGCACCTAAAGCAAAGTGGCAAAAGGCGTTTAAAGGAGTTTGTTGGGCAAGTCATTTCCAGCCACCAACAGGGTTTTGGGTGATTTTGAGTGCCCCGCGGAGGGGTCTCAGCACTCAGCTCTAGTGACAAACTTGGGCGGGCGGGGGCGCTGCATGTGAGGCGTGGAGGGGGGGGGGAGAGCTCCGCGGAGTGGACGTGGAGGATGAAGTGAGCGTGATTTTTGGGTTGGAAGCCTTGGTCATCATTTACATGAGGATTCATGCTTTGCATCTCTTTTGAAGGGTGTTCCCAAGAAGACGAAGAAGAAGAAGAAGAAGAAGAAGAGGAAGAGGAAGAGGAAGAGGAAGAGAAAGAGGAAGAGGAAGAAGAAGAAGAAGAAGAAGAAGAAGAAGAAGAAGAAGAAGAAGAAGAAGCAGAAGAAGAAGAAGAAAACGAAGCAGAAGACAAACAAGAAGAAACATAAGAAACAAAGTATGTGAAAGTTGTGGCTCAATGGCACGCAATATGGCATGCTTCTGGTCTTGACCGTGTCGCTGCTTTTTTGAGGATTCTCTAAACCCGCTTGACAAAAACAAATACACGCACACATAAAGCAAGCAAGCAAGCAAGCAAGCGCGCAAGCAAGCAAGCAAGCAGGCAGGCAGGCAGGCAGGCAGGCAGGCAGGCAGGCAGGCAAGCAAGCAAGCAAGCAAGCAAGCAAGCAAGCAAGCAAGGAAACAAGCAAATCAGCACGCACGCAAGCAGGCAAGCAGGCAGGCAAGCAGGCAGGCAGGCAGGCAAGCAATCAAGCAGGGACGCAATGCCCAGCATAGAACGGAAAAACAAGCACGGATCGGTGGGTCCGGTTGTGCTAGTTGTGCCACGAATGAGAAACTTGGTGGTTCCCAGCCAGCCTCCTCAGGTTTCTAGCTTTTTAGTTGGTTTAGTGGTTGCGTTTCTCCTGTTTTTCACCCGCAAGTTAAAGAGAACTCTTAGGAGATCAGGAAATGGACATAGGGTTTAGTGGTTGGGTTTTCAGTTCACCCACTAACAGTTATTCACCTTTAGATCGGAAACCGGAGAGCTCCGGGACAGGTGCCAACTTGCCGAAGGGTTTCACGTCGAGTCGTGAGGGCATGGAGCTAGAAGCCGATGATTTGCAGCCCGCCTCGCGTCGGAAGGATGAGCCGGGGCGCCTATCGACTCGCGGGGACACGTTCTGGGATCGGTGGATGCCCGCCTTTTCGAAGATGGAACTTTGGAGGAGTGTCCTCCGGAAGTCTGAGTCAGGGTACTTGGGCTTTTGGCCAAGGTAAAGCCTAGGGGGAGGGAACCGAGTTCGCAGTGACCTTGTTGGGCTTGAACGTTGCGCAGAGGCTGGGCGGTCTTGGAATTTTGGAATTGCGGTGGCATGACAGCAATCTTTTGCGGGCTCGGCGGTTGAAAAGTTGAACTCCGGGAGGCGGCGGCCCAGCAGTTTGTCCGTGATGAGCGAGATCTTCGATGAAGCCGCGTCGTCAGGGCCCCAGGGGCCTTTGGACTGGGACAAGTGGCAGGGTGCAAATATGCGGCCCAGCTTTAGACCAACTTTTTGCTCGACCGCTTCTTTTTGAGACACGTCAGCATGTGTCGCTTCCGGCAGATGTTGCGGCATCAACACCTTTGGTGGAGTTGAGAGTTAGCTGCCAGCCACCAGGTCTTACAGATGGTTGTTTGCTGCTGTTTGACCTGGCTCCGAAAGAATGGCTCGACCTTTTGCTCAAGGAAAGCACCCAAGTTTCGGAAGGTTTCATTTCATGTTGCCCCTCCAGGGTAGGACCATAAGTCTGACCCGGATGACGATGCCCCGTGTCGTGCGAGAGAAACAGGACAGGATATTTTTTTCGGTAGCTACGCTGAATTCCCTCAACGAGGCATGCCCCCTACCTTTCCCGTCGCCCTATGCTCCCCCGGTGGTTGTCGGGGAATGCTTCGATAAGATGCGGCTGCAGGGTTGGCTGCGGCTACCTTTCGTTCCGCCCCGGACATGTCGGACAAAGTGAAGCTGTAAGGGCAAGGGTTCCCCACTGAATCCAGGGGCTTGCTGACATCTTTCGGAAAGGAGGCATTGGGTTTTGACCGCGTTTCAGGAGAATCCTCAAGGTCCCTTTTGGGGCACAGTTGACTCCCTGCATGTTGTAAGTAGGCAACAAGGGAATTCCCTTTCAGGTTGTTTGTGCTCACCAAAGTCGTCGACGCTGTCCGCTTCGGTCGGAGAGCCTCCCAGGGATCTGCTGGAGCCTGACCTACCCAGCCACAGCCAGGAGTGCGGGTTGCAACAAAGAGACTCAACTTGCGAGCCAGCGCCCCACAAAAAGAGCCATGCTCGTTTGGCACCCTTCGGCCCGTTTTTCGAGTCTTCAGATACACTCGGCATATGGACTGCTGAAGTGGGTCAGGAGATGCCTGCCGACATGCAGGCGCTCCTTCCGACGAGTGCGAGTGGGTGGGTGCTTTTTCGGCGCTTCGGTTTGCCTTTGGGCTTCTCCCCCGGAAACAAGCCGATTTGGTTCCCCTTCAGAACAAAGCCCTTATGTAGGGCTGCCAACCTTCAAAAAGGTCGGATTGCTCTGATGTGTTTCAGCTGCCTGCTGTGCCACTTCCCCTCCTCCACTGTGCTGGCTGAAACCGAAGATCGGCCGCCAGGCCTTGTTTGGATCGCTGGAGTCGCTGGCAGAGGCGCGGCCAGTGGAGTTGGGAGTCGGAGCCAATGTTTGGTTGGCTGGCTGGTTAGTTGTGTGCAGTCTATGGTCAATTTGGGTGAAATTCCCCCACAAAAGCCAGAGGCAACCACCCGGTATGAGGGGGCTGGTGCCACTGGCGAGCTTGCCAATTAAAGCCAAGGCCCGGATTGGTTAGATAAGAAAAACTATTGCCTTCAATTTCCAGGTCCTTTGAGGGCAAATGAGGGTGTGCAACAAGATACGTCAAAGTGATGCATGGGAAATCCGGCTGCAGGGCGACGCTGCCAAGTGATCGTACTGCGTACACCACGTGACAAGGACCCTCAGTGAATCAGGCTTCGACGGTTCGGTGTTCCAGGTTTTCTGTTTTGATCCATGTGCGGTTCTGTCCTCGGGCCAACCTTCTTATTCCAGGGCCTTTGGGTAAGGCTTTGATTCCTTCAGCCTGGTTGCATGCATGAGAGACCATCAGCAGCGTTTGGCTCCCCTGCTTTGACACTCCGGTGACCCGTCACAGAGGGTGCCGAGACTCGTTGAGCGTTCTCGACTCGATTCGCGTCATGGTCAAGCAGGAGGGTGCTTTGGGACGGTCCCTGGAAGCGCTTGGCCTCGAAGTGCCACGGGGAGTGGCAACCGCAGCCGCAGACCTCCGCTGGAAGCCGCTGCTCCGCCATGGTGAGAGTGAAGTGAAAGCTGGAGTGAAAGCTAAGCCGCAGGAACGTACGGACGGTCACGAGGCCAAGGTGCATGAGTGAGGAGTCATTTGGGAGGTACCCTTGGATGCCTTTTAATATGAAGAAATCAGCAGCGGTGACCGGGCGACTTGCCAACCAGGTTCACCTACAGTTTTGTTCCTCCAGCACTCAGAGACCTGTTTTTCCAAGAGGTCGACACTGCTCACATGTGATGTGGTGGCATTCCGCCGACTCATCCCTGAAGGCGAGCGAGTAGGGATGTGTTGCCGCATGCCGTAGAACATGTTGAGAAGGTCAGGTTGGGTCAAGCGAAATGAAACAAGTGGAGTGGAGCTCTGGGCAGTTTTCAAGCTTCTGCGAGTGAGGGTGTGGTTTCCACTTTTGTGAGAATTGCGAGCCTGCTGCATAAAAAGCAAAGATCAAGATGCATGGGAAAGAAGTGGTTGCAATTCTTAAACGCTGAGCATGTCAATGGTTCGCCGATATATTAGCTACTCCCTCGGGTGTGATGTATGTGCACAGAGGACCGCGGGCAGCTCATGTATTGTAGGTTTGTCTACTGCTTACGAAAGTCTGAGGTCAAGATGGTAAGGACTTGGGGGGACTCATGATTTGTGTCGCCTTTCAAATATGAATCGAATGGGTCCCAGCTGTTCCGCCGGTTTTTGCAGAGAGGTTGACTTTGCTCACATGCGAGCTGGCGGGAAGGGTGACGTCACCACCGAAGTTGGCGGTGACGTCACGGTTTCTTTTTCGGGTTGCGGGAATGAGGAAAAGGGTTCGCACTTCAAGCGCGAGCCTGCTGCTTTCAGTGAAGATCAGCTCTGGCAAGGCCTTCCAGTGATTGCAATTCCCAGAACCCCTGGCCATGTCTAAGTCCGGTCAAAATGTCAAGAAAGTCTCTTGGCAAGAGGGACACGGGGCCCTCACAACATGAACCCAAGAGATGCACTGCTTGTCAGTGAGTTTTGACCGTGGCAGTTTTGAGTTGTGCAAGCATATCCTTTGTGCCGAAAACGCGGCAATGCGGAGCAGGTGCCCGGATCTCTCGCAAGGAAAAGGTTGCCGTGAATTGAAAATCGCTTTGGGCAACAGGCAACCGAGGGCCGGGGTTCATTTGTTCTCTTTCTTCCCAGGGTTCCCCCCTATGATCAACGCCCAAAAGGGACCCTGTGTTTTTCTTCTTCTTTTTCTAAGGCCAGCTCCCAACTTGAGCCCTTTTTTTTACGAGGGCAAATGAGTTTGTTTCCGGGGCTTGACGGTTTGACGCGTGGCTCAAATCGGGGGACGAACTCCTCACACGGTGGGTTTCCTGATGGTTTCTCTTCAAAGCACCCCCCATGGTTCTGGGTGAATTATAACCACCTTACACCGAATTCACCCCACATGGTGGGTTTATGTGGGGATTCGCCCCGCAACCACCTTTCAGGTTGGTGACATATTTTTGACTTCACTCAGGCCCGGTTTGGCGTACCGGGCCTCAAACCCGCGGTTCGGCTCGGCTTTCAAAACGTCCCAGGCGGCGTCTCAGCTGATCCTGGGCGGCCAGGTGGACCAGGCCCGGGGCGGTCAAGCGGCGCGATTTTTGTTTGGAGCGGCTCGACCTCGGTGCGAGGCGACACGTTGGTCTCCGGCCTTGTTTGTCTTGTTGGCCCATGTGTAGTCGAGGTCACACAGGTGCGACTTCTTTCTTTTTTTTTCAGGTGAAGTAGGCGAGGGTTTTCTGAACTGGCTTTTGAGACGCAGTTCAGGGGGTTGAAGGTTTTGCCACCGAGGAGCAAACCAGAAAAATCGTTGGAGGCTTCCAACCACAAGGCACGTATCTTGCACGAGGCCGGCCAGTTTTTTGTTTTGTTTTGTTTTTATTATTAATAAATTACAGCATGGACCAGAAGCAGCACTCGTTGCCATTGCATTCTGGATTTGAATGTGCAAGAAGGGCCACCGATACTTTTGGCGTGGTGATTCCACCGATACTTTTGGCGTTTGACTACATAATTATCCATCAGTTCCAGTTACCACTTCAGTCTTTTTTTAAAACCTCCCACGCTTTTCACACTGGCTTGCTGTATTTGTGGCACTATTCCCAGAACTGCGGGGCTTTTTCCAAATCCGCAGCTTCCGGTCTGAAGGGTCTGGGGACTTGGCCCGGGTAGGCGGTGCAGCTGCTGGAGGAGGCTTTTGCGCCGGTGGGGCAGGATGGCGGCCCTGAGGTGCGACAGGGGGCGCTGGCTCGGGTGGCGGCCGGTCGTTTGGGCGGCTTTGGGTTGGGAGGTTTTTTTGGTCAACGGAACGTGGCGCTGGACAGCCCCGCCTTTTTTTTTTAATGATGCATCATTCATATTGCGGCCCACGTAAAAAATTGGGGAGCCCTCCCTTCTCTTGAAGATTTGGCTGGCGGGGAAAGAGGCAACGTGACACCCAGCTTGTGAGAAACACTTTTTTATATGTTTGGGAGCTTGAAAGGAGTGGAACTCCTGCTCAACGCTGGCCTTTGTATGTCAGATCTGGTTCCTTTAGCGGAAATCGGCAATTGCCCGTTGCGGAAAGTGAAGCCACATGGACCACCCTGGCTCACTATCGGAGGATTTGGGAAGACTAACTTTGGGGAAGTCTGCGCCCACCTCCAATAGACAGAGGCCACCAAACTTTCATGGGGGCTGGGAGGGGGAGGGAGGGAGCCCAAATAAGCCCCTAATAAGGCCTTATTTGGGGCTTATTGGGGCCTCCCCCTCCCTCCCCCCAGCCCCCATGAAACTTAAGAAACAGCGAGTGGGCGAGCTGTTTGGCAGTTGGCTTTTGGGTTGCATCCATTCATCCGCAACATCGCTTCCACACTCCAATCTGCAGTACGCAAGGGAGATGTTTTCCATTTTTGGGAGGCGATCCAACTTGTTTGGTTGTTCTTGGGGGCGTCTTTGGGAGGCGAATCCACCTTTTTATTGGGGGGGGCCCTTGAACTGGGGCCTGCGCCTGCCTCCCAATGGATCGATCGCCTGGCGCCTTTTTGCCTCGATCGCCAGATCGCCATGGCGGGCGTGGGCGTGCAAGTGCTGCTCTGCGCAGGCCTCTCCCAGGCGATGCCCACAAGTACAAGTGGGACCCGGCAGGGCGGCAGGGCTCATCGTATCTTTTCGTTTCTTTTGTTTTAACGGTTTGCCGTTGTGTTGCAAATCATTTCTTTCTTTTTTATAGTCTTTTTTTGTTTTAATAATAATTTTTGAAACAAGTTTCTTCAAGAGACCATTTTGTGTTGCCTTTAGGGATCATTGAACCAGAAATCGCGGTCTTGGTGTGGGATGGTGGAAACCAACGGCGCCTCGCAGTGGTCAACCATCACACCAGGGCCGGGACCACCTCGCAGCACAGCCTGCAAAGAGCTTGTCAGTCCACTCAAGAAGATGGAAACCTTTGGTGGGCCATTTGTCCTCCATGGAAGTCGTCAATGTGAGGGATGTTTAGTGTGAAATGTGCAAACCTTGGCGGGTCAGGCGTCGCTCGGCACACAGCCAATCCACATTCACCACCGTCATCAGTTCACATGGAAGCCATAGCCCATGCCCTGACAAAGTTGCAGCCGTCGTCATAGCTTCCCTTCAAACATTGGCTTAAAAGGAAGGTAAAGTTGATGACGTGAGAAAGGACACATCTAGGTAGCTGCATTGAAAGGGGGAGTCCATGGCACCTGATTCCAAGCACTCAAACACACCGTCCACACTGGCCAGTGAAAGAGAACCTGCTTGCCCCCTTAAAAGGAAAATGGGATGATGTTTCCATTCCACTGGGGAAAGGATCCATATTTTTGTCTCCCCATTCCAAGAGGACAAGATAGAACCAGATGCTTGCCTTCTACGGAACCCGCTTTTGACTGAAATAGAAGCATCAGTTAAGCGTATCAGCCGTGTCAAAGGCGATGTACAGGCGGGTTCGAATCTTCTATAGGAAGGATATATATATATATATACATGTATGTATGGATGCAATGTAATGTGATGGAATGAAGTGTAATGAAACGTAATGTAACGTAAGGTAAGGCAAGGCAAGGCAAGGTAATGTAATGTAATGTAATGTATGCATGTATGCATGTATGTATGTAATGTATGTAATGTATGTAATGTACGTAATGTATGAAATGTATGTAATGTATGTAATGTATGTAATGTATGTAATGTATGTGATGTATGTAATGTATGTACTGTATGTAATGTATGTAATGTATGTAATGTATGTAATGTATGTAATGTAT